TAGAATTTTTGACTGAAGAATGTCGGATCTGTTCTTCTTCATGAAATTGGGGGGGTCTACAGGACCTGGTGGACCACCCTGGTGCCTGGATCCTCACCTTGGCCCTCACTGAGATCTGACTGTAAATGCTTTCCTATCCCTGCTCTCACCTCCAGAGTCACTTTGTCCTTGACACAGCAAACCTGACACTACCCACCCCATCCCTTCTCAGGACATGCATGCATGCATGCGAAGTTGCTTCAGTCATGTCCGACTCTGTGCGACCCTATGGACTGACTGTAGCCCCACCCAGGCTCCTCTGCCCATGGGGATTCTCCAGGCAAGAATACTGGAGTGGATTGTCATGCCCTCCTCCAAGGGATCCTCCTCAGGACAGAGGGGAACAAATACCCACTGTGACACACGGCAGTCAAAGAAACTTAGAAAGCCAGATCAAACGCTCCTTCTCTGCCCAAACACACAGCACAAACACTTTTATTTCAAGTTAGATTTTTCCCCCAAACTGAGAAAGTCTGGAAGTTGTTCTCCCAGAGTTCAAAATGGCAAGGACAGAAGCATCTGTCTTTGACCTCAACCTGCTTAATATATTGGCCTCATTCTGGCCTGAAACAGGACTCAGAGCACACATCTCCAAGCCTGCTCCTCTCACTTCTAGTTCTTTCCTTCTTATAATCTTTGAGGAACAGCATTCTCTGTACTATCACCTGTGCTGTCCACACTGCTTTGAGATTCACAGGTGATCAATTGCTTCTGTATTTCACCATCCTCCCTAGGCGTGCCTCAGTGTTCAGCCCTAAAATTGTGAAGTGTCAAGAAAGCATGATTTTAAAAGATAAAATTAAAGAGAATTTAAGGTTTGCAAAGCATCATCCCTTATTCTATTTACCTGGGTTTACATATTGTTAACTAATAAGTCTGTATATAGTTTGGTCTTCAAACACTAATTCCTTTTTGTCAAAGTCTCAAGTTCCAAAGCCAAATATGTAAATAACTGAAACAAATGAAATCAACCCATCATTCGGTAACTATAACTATGAAGTAACTGCTTAATTTTTCATACATTATCAGAATCATAATGCAATAAAATACAAAGATGACTTTGAGATATAGAAACAGAAAAACAAGGAAATGGTGACTCATTAATGAAATAAAGAATATAATAAGAACTTCCTTGACAGGGAGAAGGCAAGAAGTATGCATTTGATTTTAGACATGACCAGTTCAACTTAACACAAAAAAATTAAAATCCATTTCTTCGAAGTTCTTGAAGATTGTTAAGCTGGAAAGTAACACAATACATTTTACATCTGTTAAAATAGTCACTTCCAGATATCTATACTTTCAAAACAAGAACCCAGAAGATTTTGGTAAAAGAGCTTCAACAGACCATCATTTGAGACTTCTGGTTCCAACAGACCACCTCTTGAGACTGCTGGTTCTAAATGATGGATGTAAACTTAAGAGTAGATAAGGAAAGTAGGTAAAGATTGAGGAAAGAAGGCAGAGGACAGACCCCCCACCCCGTCCTCCCAAGGGAGTAGTAGCATCAGCTGGATGGACAAGGAGCATCTGACAGGAGCATCTGATGGACAAGGGAGTTGTTCAGTCACTAAGTCGTGTCTGACTCTTTGTGACCCCAAGGACCATAGCACGCCAGACTTCCCTGACCGTCCAGGGAGAGGAGTTAACAAATGAAAAGTGGAAGAACAGGAAATGCTGTATCATAAAAGCCAAAGAAACAGAGAACTTTCAAGAATAAGAGCAGCCAGTAGGGTCAAATGCTTCTATGAGACAAAGACAAGGACAGAAAAATGTACCTCAGATTCAGTAATATGAAGGTCTTCAGTGGAGTAAAAAGCAGGCTGCAGTAAATTGAAGGTAAAGGAAGACCCATCTGGTAAAAAGAAACCCACAGGTTCAATCCCTGGATCAGAAAGATCTCATAGAGGAGGAAATGGCAACCCACTCCAGTATTCTTGCCTGGGAAATCTCATGTTCCTTGAGGACCAAGAAGATCTTGGCAGGCTACAGTCCAGGGAATTGTGAAGAGCTAGACCCAACTGAGCACAAGACCAGACGAATTAGAATAGTACCAACAGAACTAATGATGTGGTGGGAAAAGCCTAAGATTCACCAAGTTCAAATGCCAGCTACTCAACACTGAGGGTGGGTGATGCTGGACAGATGAGGTTATCTCAGTGAACCTCAGCTTCCTCAACTGTAAAATGGGTTATCTTGAGGATTACATAATATGACACATATACAACCTGGCACATTAGAGAAGTTCCATAAACATTTATTCATCCTGTTCTTTGGAAGCCACTAAGTGTTACACGAATTTAAAATGCTATCATTTTCATTTCTCTGATCCAATGTATCATGATGCCTCATTTCCTTGAGATACACATGGAAACACAAATCTCATTTCAAAAAATGTGCGATACATGATAGCTGTTATGGGCAAAGAAGAGTTAAAACTGCTACAAAAATGTAAGACATACTATATTTTTATAATTATTATTAACACAGTACATTATTATTATACTTTGCTTTGCTTCATTGCATTTTTCCTGAACCATGGGGGAAAAAACAACTTCTACAGAGCAATTCAATATTTAAACCAGTCAGCTAAGAAATACTCCTATCCATTTCCACCTCCAGTGAGTCAGTTTCCAAGGAGAGAAGGGACTTTTCAATCTCCTGCTGCTGCTTAATCACGTCAGTCATGTCTGACTCTGTGCAACCCTATGGACTGTAGCCTGCCAGGCTACTCTGTCCATGGATTCTTTAGTCAGGAGTACTGGAGTGGGTTGCTATGCCCTCCTCTAGGGGATCTTCCCAACCCAGGGATCGAACCAGCATCTCTTAGGTCTCAAGAATTGGCAGGTGGATTCTTTACCACTAGCGCCACCTGGGAAGCCCTTTCTATCTCCAGTTACATCTAATTGATGAGTCAGTTATCACAAAGTCTAAACAATTAGCTTTAAGTCTAATTAGCATAAAGCATCATTCTACCATGCCTGCTTCCAAGTCCTTCTTTCCACAAATACCCTGACAGTGTTCAGAGAGGCCATGTAAGAGAGGGGGTTCAGCACTCCTCTATTATATCTGAAAGATTTACACTATGTCTAGATACAGCCCACTTGTCATTAGCAAGTATTCCCAAGCAGAGTCCTTTGGGCAAAATTTATTCATCAATGTAGTTACAAGTGTCATCACACACGTTCGGATTGCTTTATTATTTGGCAATTCTGCAAGATCTACATATTGACCGTGTAAATTGTCTACACAGCAGACTCAGGAATGGATGAAATTAATCCCATGAGAAAGCTCTTGCTCTGTATAAAAAAGAAAATAAAGTTTTTACAAGAGGGGGCAAGAACGGGTGATGAAAGTAGTTAACTCTTACTCTAGGTAAAATAATAGAGAAGATGCCAAAGGCAGGCAGTACTGGAAAACTAGCTCTATGTTTGTTACCTCTCCATCTCTACTCTGTGTTTTGCCGGACTTGGTAAGTTCGAATGTTTGAAATTTGCCTATTTTTAATTGATGAATACTTATGAAGTCCCCTTGTGCCATGCTGTGCTTAGTTGCTCAGCCGTGTCTGACTCTGTAACTCCATGAACTATAGCCCACCAGGCTCCTCTCTCCATGGGGATTCTCCAGGCAAGAATACTGGAGTGGGTTGCCATGCCCTCCTCCAGGGGATCTTCCCAACCCAGGAATCAAACTGGGGTCTCCTGCACTGCAGGAGGATTCTTTATCAGCAGAGCTATCAAGGAAGCCCATGAAGTCCCCTTAAGTGTCAGCAAATTTTTAAAACATCAATAACATATTGTACCTCCTGTGTTTCTTCTCAAGGTGATCATTCAAAATCTCAGCTCTGGTCACACGTTTGAATGACCTAGCAAAATTTTAAAAATACTGATGCAAGACCACCCCAGGGGCACGGTGGATAAGAATCCACCTGCCAACGCAGAGGACATGGGTTCAATCCCTGGCCCAGGAAGATTCCACATGTCATGGAACAACTAAGCCTGTGTGCCACAACTCCTGAGCCTGTGCTCTCTGCAAGAGAAGCCACTGCAATGAGAAGCCCGAGCACCGCAATGAAGAGTGGCCCCCTCTCGCCACAACTAGAGAAAGCCCAAGCAAAGCAACAAAGACCTAACACAGCCAAAACTAAATAAATTTTTTTAAAATGTTGATTCAGGGTCCCATCCTGGATCAATTATTAGTATCAGATGAGAGTGGGCTGCCATCAGTGTTTATTCATATGTCCCCCAAGTCATTTTCTTGTGCAACCAGTGTTTTAAAAGCAACTGTTATATCCCCCTTCTCCAGTACTTCCAGAATAGCCTACCCTTTTCACAAGTTCTGAAGAATGTGAAAATGAGGGGAAAAAATTCTTTCTGATGGGTTGAAGCAAGTAATTCCATCTTAGAATCTACCTTGCTGACAGGTGTGCTTCTTAGATAAAGACACCATGTCCTTCTAGAAGATATTGGAAAGGCCTTAGGGAATGTACCTGGATTCTTCAAAATGACTCACTTCACTTATAAAAAGATGTCAGTTTGTAGATGCATTTTACGATCTGTCCATGTGGAAATACCACGCAGTTCATCCTCAGAGGGCAACAGCTATGTCTGTAACTCTGTTTCTAGTCAGTGCAATTCTTTTACTAATTTTGAGTTTCTGCCTCTATAAGAATTATCCAGACCCTTTTTCCCCAAATTACACAGTCCCACATGATCCCTCCCAAAGCCTCCAAAAATGAGAACCACTGGAGTTGTCCGTTTTTTGGGTTTTTGTTTTCAACACATCTCAGCTATTTAGCAGTCAGGGCTCCTCACTTGAAAATACAATTGATAAATACACTCTTGGCCAAAAACAGTAGGCCCCAAGTTACGAAATGACTCTCCTTTGATTGGACTTTGGCACCCAGGAAGCCCAATTCTAAAGATAATCCTGAGCAAAAACAAACAATGATTGCTCCCCAGTCCTTTGCAAATAAGTGTCTTCCAGGAACTGTCTGGCCATTCCACTCCGGGAGCTGTCTCGCTAGTGAAAATGTCTGCCGGCCAGAGGTTCGCCTTTGTAATATGCATTCTAGAAATAAGTCTCCTGAGAGCGGGGCCCAGTCCCAGGTGAGTCACTTTTCTCTCTGTCTCTGGAATTTCCCTGCGGGCTTTGCCATTTCAGGGTCTGCTTCCATAGCAGCAAAGCAGGTAAAACTTTTTCACTCACATTAAGATATGGAACCAGAGAATCTGAACTTTGAAAAAGAATGAGAAAAAGCTCAGGTATGTCTTTCAGAGTTTTTCAGGAAACCTGCTGCTGTTTCCAGGGATTTCTTTTAAACAAGGTATTCAAATGTTAAGGCTGAGATATTCTTCAAATACTGGACTTAAGAAGCAAAGCTGATTTTTACTAGGATATAATAAACCTTGGTTTATCAGTTTCTAGGGGGCTTCCCTGGTGGATCAGCGGTAAAGAATCTGCCTGCAATGCAGGAAATGCAGGTTTGATCCCTGGGTTGGGAAAATCCCCTGGAGGAGGACATGGAAACCCACTCCAGTACCCTTGCCTGGAGAATCCCATGGACAGAGGAGCCTGGTGGTCTAGTCCACTGCATCGCAAACGACTAGCACAAACGCACACATCAGTATCTAGGGTCTGAGAAGCTATTCAAGGAAATAAACCTCTCCCTCACTCTGCCTCCAGGTCTAACACTCTCAATAAGTGGCTACATCCTGCCTTTGCCTCCGCACCAGGCAGAGGTTGGCCATTTTTCTTCTCTTCCTTGACATCCCAAGAAGTATCCAGAGGCACACATTTTGTCCTTAGGTTTAGGGGAGTGTTTTCTTCCATTCAGGAAGAATCACCATGGTGCAGACCTGTAGGCCAGGCTTCCAGCAAAGACACTTTCTCTTCTTTTGTTCTGATCCTAATTGGGAACAGGAAGCCCATTCCAAGCCAATCCAGGAAATAAACCAACCAAACAAGATGTGCTTATTAACTACCTACGCTGTAATTCAGAATGGTTAGAGAATGCACAGTCCTGTGTCGTCTGATACAGCATGATTCCATCTGGTGACAGTATTAAAATATCCCACCCTTTGACAATACAGCCTGGGGAAATCAACTACACTGTCCCTCTGCCCAATGTGACTGTGACCTGTATTCAATTTCCCTTCAGTTGTATGACTCAGTGGGGTTGTTCAGTCGCTCACTCATGTCCAACTTTTGCCATCCCGTGAACTGTAGCCCACCAGACTCCTCTCTCCATACAATTCTCCAGACAAGGATACTGGAGTGAGTTGCCAGTTCCTTCTCCAGGGGATCTTCCTAACCCTGGAGGGATCAAACTCAGGTCTCCTGCATTGGCAAGTGGATTCTTTACCACTGAGCCACCTGGGAAGCCCATTTGACTCTCAGGTTCACCAACTTCCATGTGGGCACTGGTGCCCATCTTAAGCACATCAGTGCCTGCCTCCCAGCTGCCGTGGAGGCTACCATTCTGTCTGGGCCCCATCAGACATGCAGTGTTTGCTCACATGGCTGCATCGTCCAGGAGGGGACACACAGACACGCTCCACAGACCAGCCCGGGCTTGGGTGAAGTGCTTCACCCCATCATTACCTCTTCCCATACTATCTAAGAAGCATTATTTGCATTTACTGGGCATCAGGTACAAAGGAGTTTGGAGAAGGCAGTTACTGAAAGTTGTTTTAGTCCTCTTGTACTGACCCTTTCTTAAGTTAAAAAATAATTTAAACAACCCACATTCCTAGATCGTGACTCCTGCTGATCAAGAATGAGAGGCCGCTGGGAAGGCTTCCATGGCTTTGAAGTTTGGATCCCGTAGGTTCTGGTCATGCCCTGCAGTTTCAGAGAGGACCAGCAAGGCCCCTTGGCTGCCCCCCAGCTCTGAGCAGCTGCACCACTGGCTGGGGTTGGCCTGCAGTCACTCTCATTGCCATGCCCTCAGGAGGCTGGTAAGGCTGCCCCGTTCCGAACACTGTGCTCGGCCCTTTGATACAGGGGTGAAGTCAAACAGAGTGTTCAGACTGGTCATGGAGTGGGACACATAGTTCAGCCAAAGAAATGAAGTTTGCAAGCAACTTTAAAATACAAATTTGATCAGAACAGAGCAGTCCTCTGGAGACTTTTCAAGCTCAAGTTGAGGTGCCGTTACTTACTTACTGACCATATAACTCTGGGCAACCTTTCTGAACTGTTACTCAACCTCTGCATACCTTGGTTCCTTCATCTGTAAGACGGTGTGTGTGTGTGTGTGTGTGTGTGTGTGTGTGTGTGCTTAGTTACTCAGTCATGTCCGACTCTGCGACCCCCATGGACTGTAGCCTGCCAGGATCCTCTGTCCGTGGGGATTTTCCAGGCAAGAATATTGGAGTGGGTTGCCATGCCGTCCTCCAGGGGGTCTTCCTGACCCAGGGACCGAACTGCATCTCTTATGTCTCCTGCATTGGCAGGCAGGTTCTTTACCACTAGCACCACCTGGGAAGCCCCAGTGAAAATAATGGTTCTTATCTAATAAGGTTCGATGTAGACATTAAATCTTTATACCTGTAATTGCCTTACAATATCTGTGCCCAGCATGCTGTAAGAACTCAATAAATGTGAAGTGTTCCTTCAAGTAATAACCTTGGTATTCCTTTCACTTCAATATGCTTTCTGGTTTAGGAGAGGAGGGGAGGGACTTCAGTCTTCAGGGGAGAGACACTGCAAGCGAAGCAGTCTCTGAAGCGATCGCTATTGCAACTGGTGAACCATTGGGGATTTTCAGTGATTATTTGTTTGCAAACACAATCATGCCTATGAGACTAGGTCATGGCACATCATCTCTTGTGACTCCCAAGGTAGACTAGAAATATTAAAAAAAAAAAACAAAAAAAAAAACACTGTACAAATAGTATAATAGCTCATAATGTAGGTTCCAGAGCCAGGCAGCTGGAGTTTGAGGTTCACAGTTTACTAGCTATGTGACCCTCGGCAAATTTCTTAACTTCTCTAAACCTGTTCCTAGCACCTGCACAAGGGAAATTACAATGTGACCTGCCGTGAGAAAGCCAAGATAACAAACGCAATGTGCCTAGCACAGTGACCAGCACGAAGTGAGTGTGCTGTGAGTGTAGCTATTGTTAGTTTCTTCCTTTTCATTTGTAAAAAACAAAATATTTACATGGTTCAAAGAGCAAATGGAGAAGGAAATGGCAACCCACTCCACTATTCTTGCCTAGAGAATCCCTTGGACACAGGAGCCTGGTGGGCTGCTGTCCATGGGGTCGCACAGAGTCGGACACGACTGAAGCGACTTAGCAGCAACAGCAGCAGCAAAGATAAAAAAATTAACAAATAAACACTGAAAAGTGTTGACTTTTCATGAGATTTGTGTTACATGTAAAGTACTTAGAGCACATCCTGCCTCACCTCACATTTTCCCAACAGGGAAACACCTTTTTAGTTTCCTGTGTGTCCTTCCAGTATGTCTTTGCATGGATTAAAGCATAGAACCAACTATTATCTTACTCTCTCCCTTTCTTTCATAAAAGGTATTATATCATATACACTATCTTGTACTTTGCTTTTCTTCTTTTTCATTTTGCAATATATCCTGGAGACTTTTCTGTGTCAGTTGAAAGGAACTTCCTCCTCTCACAAATGATTAATTTTCCATTGTATGGATATACAGTTCAGAGAACTTGTATATTATTGACCAATACTTGGGTTGTTTCCAACTTTGTATTATTAATATAAGCTGTGTTGCAATGAATATCCTTATTCATATAGCATTTTGAAAATGGATAATTGTACCTGAGGATTAATTCCCAGAAGTGATGTTAATATATCACTGGGTCAAAAGGTTTTGCTTCAAGATTTTCCTGAAATTGCCACACAGTCCCATGGGTAGGTATTATTTTGCACTTTTGTCAGCCGAGCATAAAAGTGCTTGTTTTTCTGAAGCTTTGCTCTAGGCCAAGTTTTATATTTGCAGAACTCATAGGTTAAAAAAAAAAAAAATAGTATCTTTGAATAGAATTAATTTGCCTTTCTCTTCATCAGGCTATACATCTTTCCATATGTTTAAAGGCTATATGTATGGATTGTTTTGTTTTGCATGAACTATCTATATTCTTTGCCCATTTTTCAATTGAGTCTTAGAGATTTCTATGATGACTTTATATATTAGTCATCCTTTATCTCTGGTATGAATAATAAACATCTTCCCCAGTTTTGTCATTCATCTTTTGGCTTTATATGTGGCATGTTTCTAGTTGTCATATTTACTTTATTCTTCATTTTTCTAACAGTTAAGAAATTCTAGACTGAGAGGAATCCAGAGGGTAGCTGGGTATGGATGGCACTTCTGGAGATAAATTGCCTGGGTCTGAATCCCAACTCTGCCACCAAGAAGCTGCTATGTAACCTGAGAAAAATTACTCATTGTTACTGTGGCTTAGTTTGTCATCTTTCAAGTACGATGATGCTAGTAGAAGATACCTCATAAGGCTGATGTAAAAATTAAATGAGATAATGAATGTAAAACTTAGAAGAGACTCTGACATAAACTAAGCACTCATAAAAGTTAGCAATTATCTTTCAATTTATTTTAAAACTTAGCAATCTGGAAAAATACCCAAACACTCATTAATAGAAAATTTAGGCCTAACTATTAAATTGAAAATATCCAGGGAATTTCCTTGTCATCCAGTGCTTAGGACTTCATGCTTTCACTGCAGGGGTTGTGGGATTAATTCCTGGTTGGATTACTAAGATCCCATAAACCATGCAGCACAGCCAAAAAAAATAAAATGGAAAATATCCAAAATTTCCTTGTTTGGTTGTATCTATCTGTGTTTTTAATATCCATATTTAATACAAGTTAGTAGATATTTATTTATGAATGATTCTTGGCCAAGTGTGGTCTTTTATTTGTTCACCCATTTAACACAGGAGATATTTTTTGAGTTTGCAATGTGGGCTGGGTGTTGCTTCAGGAGATATAGTGTAATACAGAGCCAGTTACTGAGGTCTCTGCCCTCAGTGAGCTTACAGTCTAGTGAGGAATATCAACAAGTAAATGGCAAGAGCCATCCAGCCAAATTCTCTGAGGCCCACAGTG